GAAGAAATATTTCGGATGGGGTGGAAGATATATCAAAAAGACGGAATTAGAAGGTGGTATTTTCATGGCTTCAAATGTAGAAAATTCTTGTAGAGTATGGAATTGCGAGATCCTGCGACCTGAAGTTGATTCTCTTGATGTTGTTGGTAAACATGGTGATATTGAACATCTGCGAGAGTTTTTACCTGCAGATAGTGAAACGATGACTGCAGGCCGTGTGTATTGGATCACAGATCGAACACCTCATGAATCATTGCCTCTAAAAAAAGGAATATATAGACAATTTTTCAGGCTTGTCACAAGTCTAGTTACTGCATGGTTTGAAGATCATTCTACCAAGAATCCAAATGGTGTTGTTCCTGACCCGAAATTAACAAAGATCGTCAAAGGTTCAAAGTTTGATGGAATCTGTTGTGTGATTGAACCATAAAGAACTAGTCTGGTTTTTAAATCTGGGAGCAACACTTGAAAATGTTGATATTCATTACGATATATACAGTACATTTGTGGACATCAGGATCAGGTATAGGAAGAACTTTTAAAACTATACGTGAAACTGGATAAATTATAAGCCGGTTGAATAATTTAGTAATGCTGTCCTTGTACACTTGCTCTCAGTCTGTCTCTTAAACGATTTTATGTTTGGGAGTTATAAGGGGCGCCCGAAAATGCGGGCACGAGGCGAGAAAATTGGAAAGAGACAGATTTTTGCACCAAATATAAAGGTTGGTCTTTCAACCTCAGCCTTGCATGCATGGGCAGTTTTCTGTGGCTCATTCGGTGATCTGGCTTGGGGAAGTGATCAGAAATCATTGCGTCCTGTGTTTGTGTTTGTTTTCGTCTGAGGCTGTGATCAGACATCAGTCAAATTGGCCCATAAATCGAATATAAAACACATGCGCAGATAATGAGATCTATATCTTCAAGGATACTATTGTGTATGGAGCGACTAAATGTGGTATAGTGAATGCACTTTTTGCGTCAACCTCGTACCCAGGATCTTTCTTTGGGAAAGACCCTGGCTGCGGCTGGTCACGTGCCTCATCAAAAATTTAGCGCCTGAGGGGGTGTGGGGAAAGTATCAAATTACATAAACATGCTTCCAGTGGAATATTCGTTAAAAACATAAATTTTGCGAATTATTACGTTCAAAATACTTGCTAATTTTTGTTTATTTTCTTTGCTTTGAAGTTACAAGAACATTCTTACATTCTTACTTACAGTCAAGTCAAGAAACAAAGCAAATCGTTACTCGCAGTACGTGCTCTCTCGTGTTGTTATTCAATGCATGCTCTCTTCACAATCGAGCGCGGTTATAACAAGTTTACCTTTTAATATTGTAATGTTTTTAAAATACGCCATTACATTCGTTTTTTCTTGTAAACGTTGATACGCTTTGTACCGATTCACTTGTTACTACGCGTCTTGTTTATAAGATTTTTAAAAGAAACAGTATTGTCTAGGACTGACCCAATATTAGCAAATGTAAACATTTGATAATAGCCGAACAGAGAAATGTCTATAAGTATAGAGGAAATTTCAGTCATTGGTTTATCTGGATTTAGTACATAATTCGTATTCGGTAATTATAGTAAGACTTTACAGTGTCAGATGCGCACAGACCGTAATTGGCATCATACGAATAGACATAAATTTTCGAGTTTTCTAGCCTACTTCTACTAACATTTTTAAAGTTTTCATTGTGAATCACCTGTTTATCTCTAATTCATTAATCATTTACTACATATATTTATTTGATAGTGTCATATACTGAATAATACGTTTACACGCAAGCAATCCTGGATATGACTATAGACGATGCAAGCTGTCCATTAAAAAATAATGGTATTCTATTTCACAAAGTCAAAGCAAAAATTTAAATCTCACTTGTATATACAGCAAAAAATTAAAGCTTATTCATGTCAAAACGAAAGCTGTTTACAAAATTTATAAAGGTGGTGAACACTACTAAACAGTGCTCATTGAAAGACATGTATAATATAGTGACATATAATTTGTCGTTTGACTTATCTTTGGTGTATGATTTTAATACCGTAGATTTTCAACAGACAGCTATACTTTGACATATACCATGATCGTTGGTTTCAGCAATGCCAAAGGGCCAATTTTATAGTGTTTTGACGAACTTTAAGTTTTTTTGATAAGGCCTTTATATAGATCAAAAATCTGGATACAGTTGGCGATATTTCGGAAATCAAAAGATCTCGCTTTTCGTTGCAATTCCACATCTCATCAATAAATAAATTCTTTTGGTCCGAGTATCAGGATAGACATTAATACTGAATAAATAACAACCACACTGTTCGGTCTAGAGATCTATATTTTCTTGTAGGTTTAATATTGCCACGCTGCACAAGCGGCAAGCGTGCTTTCTTTGGCAAGTCTAGTATAAGTTGAATATTGAAATCTGACCCAACTTGCTTGAATTGTAATTCGACACCAGATTATAGAGTACAGCGTCACGATATAAATATTAATT